CGAACTATACTTTGCATGTGTTTTTACACTGAATTATCTGCTGGTTACCTGGGTCCTTTCTCTGGCTTAAGTGGAACCAAGCTCTTGCTTAATTGGACCCTCAGATTTAGTAGACAGTGAGAATTCGGTTCAATAAGATGGTTATGATCCACCAGGTTTGACTGGGGGGAGCGGGGGGGGAATGAAACAAGACAATTTCCTTAGGAAAGCACACATGTTGATAAAGCAGTTCATGGACAACCTGACTGACGTCTTCATCGCTGATGCCTGCTTTGATTGCCATACTATCCTGAAAGCATTTTCACTTTAACTTAAGCGCTTTCTTATTGAAGGCTTAATCCTTCATCTGTCATTAAGGCCAGTGAAAACAAATTGCTCCGTTGGCAGCAGGCTGATTAGCTCTCCAGTATAAGTACGCGGTCTCTTCAACAGGCGGGTGACTTTTAGCGTTAGTCAGTTAGTTTGAGTAGGAAGTGACCGTTCTTGCTTTGACCTGTCAGGTCAGGCTTCAATTTTCTTTGAGCCCTGTAGCCCTCATGTTTGAGACTGGCCATTGAGCTGAAAAGTTGTTGAGTAAGGGAATGGCAAGTGGACAGAGATCATGATCTCATAAGCTTCAGCTCCTTTAGAAATGCTCAACTGAAAACTCTCAAGGATTGATTCTAAGAAAAGCAGCAGCTTTGGATGCTCTGAAACCAAACTAGACATTTGGAATTGGAAAGGTTTTTTTTATGGTCACTAGCTTATCAGTGAAACTAGGTTACCACTAGTTTTTCCAAGTAAACATCTTTCCTCACATCAAAAAGGTTTAGATAATATAAAAAAATACAGTGATTATACGAAAATTATTTTCCTTGCATGGCAAACCAGCTTTTCATACCATCTCCTGCAGGACAAGCAAAAGGATGAAGTTAATAGGATAGCGGTTGCTTGTAAAGAGTATAAGTGTTAAGAGGAATAGTGGAAAAAGGCACGCTGAAAAAAACGGGCAATTGAGGGAAATGAAATCAGATTAGCCACTATGCCAGAAAGCGTATATTCAGTGAGTATGGATTTTTATGTGTATCTGCTGAGCGAAACTGTTATGCTTGTTTCTGAACAGTGAGTAGAGTAAACAACGCTTCTGCCTACGGGTATTTCTTACTGATAAAAGAGCGTAAGACCAGGTCTGGCTAGAATGACTCAAAGAGGATGCTTACAAGGCACTTGCATGAAAAAGAATAAAATGATGGGGCAAGAAACATAGTGGTGTGAATTTTAGAAACAGCGTCTTTCCTGGGTAGCATTTTTCCCTCTGTCGCGATTACTAGTTCTAAAACAGAGCTACCGCGGGAAGAACGTTCAGACAACTGAGGGGAGAGCCTACAGAGAGTGACGAGAGGCAGGTCGTTGGTTCTGTGAAGGGAGCCAAATGGGCAGTGTCACGTCCACACGGACAGCCCGGCTCTGAAGGCCGTGGCCATGCAGTAACCCCAAACAGCACGGTCCGTGGCGTAGCTGCCTCTGAAGACCACTGGAGGGTATGGCGGAGGGGACGGGGGAGGACACTTAGGGGTGAATTTCTCTTCAGTGCTTCCTTCACAGACCAATGGAGAAAATGTTACTGGAGAAGTACTGCAGCTGGATCCCAAATACCAATAAACACCAGATTGATGCTTCTAATGGTGTAGAGTTTATCAACAATTTTGTTACCGCCGCTTGAGATCTCTGCCTTCGAACTTGCCAATCTTGCTTGTGTATTTTTAATGACTGTTGGCACAATTCTTCATAAAACTGCAGGAGCTGATGTAGATTTACCGAATGGATTAGCCTTCTGGGACTCCCACAACAATATGTGTGCTATTTTGATCTAAAATGGATTTGTGTGTCCTTAAAACGAGCTAGCAAATTGCTGTGCTAATTAAGCTAGATTGAACGATGCACAGGAACTAATATTACTAAATCTGTGTGTGAAGGCCCGATTCTGAGAATCCTTGTGGACTGTTTGCAACTCAGCTTCAGGCTCCAAAAATACTACATTGCAAAGCTGCTCTCTTGCCAAAAAGACATGACATCAGTCAACGCTGAGATTGCATTTAATATGTGCTAGGCATTAGACTCGCGGCTTGAAATGCTGTTCTTGATGCTTCCATCTGGCGAGGCTCATGCTAGTGCAGCGAGGCTGGACAGAATATTCACATTTATTTTTTTACTCTAATGCTGACAACTGAAAAAGGACTGTAAGGCCTTATGTTAGCATTCTCCACCATAAGGAATGAATCCAGCAAATCTGAGTACCCTGTACTGCCTTCTGCCATACGTGGGAGACGTAGCACATCTCTTGGCTGACAGCTTCCAGGCTTGCTTGTAGCCATGTTTTTTTAAACTGAAACTTTCTAAGTTCCCAGTTTTTCGGTGGTTTTAAAGAGGAAAAAAAATTCTTTCTGGATTTTCATACCTTCAGGTTCATTACTACCATTATTGTTGCTATTCAAAGCAATAATGCCAGCGGCAAACGCTGAGTATAAAAACTCTAACCTTTTAAGAGCTCTTATTTCACACAAAGAGTTATCTATTTGCAACCTTTACTCTCTTTGGCCAATTATTTTCGTCTGTCGTTGTTACTGCAGTTTATCGGTCCTCCTTTGCAACAAGAAGTGATCAGTAAGGCTTAAAGCTTTGTTCGGCTGCTCAGCCTCGGTGTTTTGTGTGTTTTTCTGGCGCTATGTTTTTTTTAGTTGAAGTTCTTTGTTAGCACAGTGGATGCTGTGACTAATTTGGCTAATTCTGGAAGAAAGGATTACGCTTGGATTCTGCATTGGTGTTTTGAGTCTCAGTAAAAAGTTACAATGAGTGAGTAGTCTGGGTTATGCAGACAGTTGGGTGGGATGATACCTTCTGGCCTTCAAATCAATGGGATCTGTTTATTACCGTATGATTCAGGTTTAACTTCCGAGCCAGCCTGTAACGTCTTGTACATGATTCTGTATGCAGAGCACCCCATCCATTGCTTGTGAATGTGTGTCTTGGATAAATGGGAAAGTTCCTAGTGGGGCTTTCACACAGTAACATAGAGATGTTATTGGGACGCTGCAGCATTGCCAAGTTTTTCTAATTTAGACAATTCTCACAGTAGTTGACTTGTTAAAATCAAGTTTCATACTGTTTTAAAGAAGAGTGACATTTGTTATTTTTGAAAAAAGAAAGAGGAAATCTATAGTCCTCCTCGTTGCAGAATAGCGCTTGAAAAAGTGACTGCCATAGCTAAACACCACCTCCCCCTCCATCACCCAACAACCCAGAAAACAAAGAGAAAAAATCTAACATCAGGTTTAAAACATTAAGTCATCTAAGGATTTTGTAGGGTCTGCTTAAGATTCTGTTTGCTCAGGATCAGAAACCGCGTAACTCAGAAGTCTTCTGGTTTCCCAGCGCAGGCGCCCGCGCAGCCATGACCTGGCCCCATCCCCGCTCGGGCGAGCCCTGGCTTCCCCGGGGACGGGGTCTCCTCCTGCGCTGGCCGGAGAGGAGCTGGCCAGTACTTCCCCCGCGTGCGGGGGACCGGTACGTAGAGGCGTGTTGTAGTCCAGGCACGGCCTCTAGCTCCCGTATTCGATATTCTTAGGGGAAAAAAAAAATTCTCGGAACTCACAACTGACGTATTGATTAATTAAATAGAGAACGAGAGATTCTGAACAACAAACAGTGCCCTGCAGTGCCGGTAGCCCAGGCGATGTGCTGGGCCGGTGCCTGAAAGTGACACAATCCTGCTGTCTGATTTGGACGGTGACACAACCCTGCTGTCTATGTTGGATGACCTGATTTAATTGTGCCCGTTGAGAGAAACGCGGAGAAGGAAGCGTGCCTTAGAAAGAGTGACAGACCCATTCAACTGTTACAATGCCCTCTCTCCTGATAATCCCGGCTGTTATTAGTTGTAGAGATAAAAACATATTTTTCCCCTAACCTTACATTGTCGTTCGGCTAAATTTGCTGCCTCGAGGGAAGCGTGTTTCTGTACAGAATTTGCTCAACAGCATAGGGATATTCGTGGTCTCAAGAAGATGGAGCTTTCTACCAGGGTGACTGCGAGGCCGGGCTGCCCAGGAAAGGAGGGAAAGCGACTGGAAACGGCTCCCTGCTGCCCACGCGCCACGCGGGGACCGAGGCGAGGGGCGGCAGCTGCTGGGAGCAGCTCGTTCCCTTGCCCAGCGCAGGGCCGGCAGCGCCCAGGCACGAGAAGGGCACGGTGTGAGGAGAGGGAAGAAGCCGGAGGTTTTCAGGGAGGGGCAAGAGGGAATCGTGACTTTTCGAGTGGGAGCTCTTTCTCGGCGTGGGCCGTGAGCCGCCCCTAGCCGCCCCGTCGGCACCGCTCTCCGCAGGGGGCTGACCGCTCCACCTGCGTCTGCCTGGTCCGCGTGTGTCGTGATAAAAAGTGCAGGTTTACCTGGTCTGCCGTGTGAGACCAGCCATTTAGATACTGGTACGCCACCGCTTCTCTTATCAGAGAACGTTAGGTTTCGGCCAATTCCCATTACTATTTTTATCCTTTATTGTGTGCAAATACACAAGGATTTTAATAACAGCAGAGTCACTTTAAATGCCGCTTGGAAGGCCAGAGAGCATGATGTCTTATTTTCACCAGTCCATCTAACACGATTTTTACGAGTGAACCATATTGCTTATACAGAATCAGAGCAAGTTGGGTTTTTTTATAAAGGCATTTTTTTAAAGGATTGAATAGTTGCAATTGTTGGAGAAAAGTGCTTAGATACTGGATTAGGAATTTGCAGGATCAAAGTAGCAGTTAAGATGCCAGGGAACTCATCCAAGTCACAACATAGCTGATATTCTTTTGGGAATACTGGGCTGTTTTGTATACAGCACTCTTGGCTCCAGGTAACTTAAAACCTGAAGAACTGAAATGATTACAAATATCGGGCTGAATCTTCCAAGGTGTTGAGTGCCCACAACTCGCATCGGGCTGAATACCCCTTTAGACTGTGGCCCTTTATGCTGCGATGGCGATGCCGAAGGCGTTCGGCGGCAGAAAATGCCACTGGAGGCCCCTTCGCCGTGTCGGACTGTACCAAAGCCCCTTGGGTGCAATGTTCCTGGTGATCCTCAGCACCTTTCGGGAGCAGGCTGACAGAGGAGTGGCTCTGGCGGCAAAGCTCAGTTGTTTGTGATCTCAATTACACAGAAAATGTAGGGGATGGATTGATTTTTATTTTTTTTCTAACCTGTGAGAAGCCAGGGGGATTTCTGCTGGGCTGGTCTCTTTGAGATTTAGACTGCAAATTCAGGGCATGAAATTCTCTCTGTCCTGATTTTAGTGCCAGTGCTCAGACCGAGTTCGATAAGGTGAGGAGCTCACCTGCGTCTTTGCTGCGCTGGAAGGTGCATCTGGCTGACTCCTGTCCTCTCCTGGGCTCTAGATGAGGGACAGCAAAGACGGTAGAGGAGCAGGCTTCTCCTTTCTCCAGACTTCATAACTGATAGGGGAGATGAATTTTCCAATCCAGTTGCACAGCTGGAGCTGGAAAAGATGCCAGGGAACTGAAGTATTTTCTTTTCATATCGTTTACTTGGAATACTTCAATTTCTATTAAAAAAACTTTTTTTAAATTGCTCATCTTTGGTGAAAGGCTTAAAAAGGGCAAAAAGCGTGAAAATGAAATGGCGTGAGGAAACTCTTTTTCAGTATTTTCTTTGAGAAAACTAATTTTTTGTTTTAATGATGAAAAAAACCTTGTCATTCTAGTTCTGATTCAGCCATCAAAACAAGAAAATATGGTTTGTTTGGGTTTTTTCCCTTTGTTGTACAGTAATAAGGTTGTTGTCACCACAGTGGGGTAAGAAAGACTTCTGGGGAGAAGATTTTGTCTTTAATTAGACCAATTATACATTTGGAAAAGAGCCAAAGGTAGGAAAATTATCATTTTTTAAATTAAAAAGGTACGTATGTAATCATGGTCTCAGTTTTAAAACTTCTACAGATCTTTTCTCATAGATCAGTGGAAACTCTTAGTGCTTTCTCATTACTTAATAAGTTGGGTTTGGAGAATTTTGTTTGGGTTTTTTGACATGAATGTGGATGAACTTGGTGTTCTAGAAGTTGGGATTTGATTTTAGAATTATACAGAATTTAACGCATGTATAAGGAGAAGGAAACTATTCAAATATAGTTATTATATGCACATTAATAAAAAGTTTGGCTAATAGTGGAAGAATTAGAAAACAGGTTTGCTTTGATTGTAGTATATTGGGTTGTCATAAAACTCATGGGGGAAAAAAGTGATTTTGGATCTAATGTCCATGTGTTTATGGATGAGGGATGAGGAAGGATATTGCTTCTTTTGTAGACTGGTATTTTGTATCCTTTCTCTCTCCTGTCCCTCACGCCTCTTCTTCCCTTTCACCCACAAACCTTTTCTGCTTAAAGATAGATTTCAATCAAGTGTGACGGAATAGTAGAGAGATCTAAGCTTCATAAGTACATGTGGGGAAAGTCTTTGAATTAAATTACTCCTAATAGTTTCCCATCACAATGGCTAATTCGTAATGGTCAAAGGTAGCAGCAGCCTGTGTGTTTCCATTAAAGTATTCTGCAGAGCAGAGAGAAGGGCAGTAGGAGATTAAATTTATAAATATTTGTGGTGATAACAGAAGTGTTGGCTAAAGAGACAATACACGATGAAATACAAATCGGAAAACCAGCTGTCATTAGCTCTGCTGCTCATGGGCTGACTTACTCGAAGGTGCAAACAGATGGTACAGGTGGACAGCTGCATGCAGATCCTGCCTCTCCCTCTCCTGGTCACACCGACAAACTCTCTAGCAAATGACAAAACTCTGTGTATCTTACTTCTGGGTTCCTGTCCAGCACCTACCGTGTCCAGCACTTAGGGACCGCCTTTCCTCTGTTATCCTAGCATCTGGTTCAGTGATACAGGAGTCACTTTTATTAGCACTTGTGTGAAACACAACTGCCTAGGAGCCCAGAAGTGCAGAGCATCAGTTTAAGACGAGGTGTAAGGAATACCTTAGGCAGCTGGAATGCAAGAGTCCAGCCCACAAAACCAAGCAATAGCCCTTCCGACTTCTGCAAACACGCCCTGCCATTGTTAGCAACCACGACTGGCAAGGGCCTGAGCCCATTTATTGTCCGTGAAATGACATCTCCGCCGACGTAGTGCTGGCGCTGGAGTGCTGGCAGGGCTCTGACTTGCTGCCACGCAACCTCTTGTTTTCCGGACCTGAGCGTTACTAGCGTGTAAAGGTTGACCCATTCACAGAACCATGTGGTGTGGCAGCAGGCCATACGTATAACCTTGACTACAATGCCCTTTCCAGAGAGTGATTGTGGTTTTCTTATTATCTAACGAGCTTGTCATTTCCTGTACTAGTTGTAACAGAGCTGAATGTTTTCTAGGTTACCTAACCAAACTTCTGCAAAATCATACTGCCTATGCCTGCGATGGGGAACGTTTGAGTCTGCCCTGTCCTAGGAATTCAACAATAAGTGTTCAGTCAGCATTTTACGGGCAAGACTACCACATGTGTAGCACTCAGGAGCCTGAAACCGGGATGACAGAACCCATCAACTGTGTGGCGCCCACCTCTTTGCAGGTATCGTGCATTGTAAAGGTTCTTGATGCGCAGAATGTTTTTGATGGTTTCCATGCAGTGAGCTGTGCTGTGTGAAAATGGCAGGTGTTCAAAACATTGAATGAAGTGACATCGTGTCTGTGCCAGTTTACCATCAAAAGTGTTACAACTGAAAGGATTTGTCTGGCCAGCAGAACATTACCATGGGATTGTGAAAGCTTTGTAGGTTGCCTTGTATTTTGATGAGCCTTGCTTAGGAAACCCCGTTCTCAAAGTTCCCTAAAATAATCAGTTCCCTTTTAATCAAGGGCTGGTCATGACTGAGCAAACCAGTCTTAATCCATCACACAGGTCTTCTTTGTCCCCAGGAGAGGATGCAAACATTTGACAGAGCTGGGTTACAAATCCAGTGGGCAAGATGGCATTCTGTTTGACGTTTGGCTTGTTCTCTGCCTGTCTTCCCTCACTGGAAAGGCACCGTGACAGCTAAACAGCAGATCCTAAGCACTTCTGCCGATATCTGCATTTCCATGATTATATGATTTGTATCAGTAATATCCTATGGTTTGTTTGCTGGGCCTCCTTAAGTATAGCTTAAAATGATTTATACTTCATAAATTATTACTTTCTGCTGTGGAGACTTTTGTAACAAGGCTTAGAAAGACTGACTTAACACTGCTGTCAAAGGCTTGTTTCATCACAGTGAAAATGCCCAGTGTTAGGCCAAATTCAGTAAATCATTGCAAAAATGAGTAATTAGTGGAATCTGAACCTGTTCTGTTGGTGAACCTCTTGTAAATGCTCTACAGATGCTTTGATGAAGCTCGCAACATTTATGCTTGCAGACAACACATTGCTTCTTGACAACAGGGAATGTCGGTTCCCACCACTCGTGAGCTGAAGAGCTTTACGGAGTGGTTTGGCAGTAGTGTCCTCTCTCCAGGAACAATATTAGGGCAGTTTTGTAAGTGTGGCTTGCCCGTGCTGTACTGCAACTGCAACATTCCAGATGTGACCTATGGGCCATGTGAAAATACATCTCCCCACCAAAACCAGTAGACCAGACGCATCCTTGATGTCATTTTACTGACTACAACGAAGTGACATCAATGATTATTTTGGACTTGTGAGTGCATTCATGAGGTCCCCATGAGAAGTTTTTTCCCTTGAATATAATAAACACAGCATGGGATAACTGTTGTGTAAACTATCATCATCGTTCAGGCACTGCCACTGATCAAAGTCATGAAAGCGTTTTGACGAGGCCATGAACATGAGAGATACAAATGCTGTGCATCTCGGGGAGTTCTGGTTCTGTCAAGGAGAAGAGACACATCCTGTAAACTGATTTCCTAGAAAAGGGCACCAGTGATCTCATCCCTCCTCCCCTTCCCTTTGGAACCACGTCTGCAACCTGCATAATTGAGCATGATGCTACCCTGCAGCCGGGAGGAAGCATAACAGGCATTTTTTACAGTGACCTCCTATTAAAAGGATCACTGCAAAGTTAGATCTGTCTCGAGATATTAACAGCTCAGTGCTATCTCATTCTGAGTATCATTGTTTACTTTTGTGGTTGCGTGTTTTTGCACAGCAACGTGGTAGAAAATGTGGCTGCTGTTTGCATCAAGTAGTAGAAGATACAGAGAGATGCTCCGGAGATGATTCAGCTCAGGTGCAAACAGAAGGTGACTCTGTAGGGGCAGCTATCTCTGCTTACTAAAGACGTAATTCTATTTCACTGGCCTGTTCTAGAACCATCCCAATTAAGGAGGAGTTATTTATTTGACTTGCAACTCTGTAAAAGAAGTATTGACCGATAAAATTAAGTCTGCTGTGCTTTTCCTTCCCTTTTAAACTCTTCAGAGTGCACTTAATGCTCAAGAAGTGTTGGATGCAGGTCCTGTTCTTCTACCAACGGGAACAAAAATGCACAAGTATTATAGGGTCGCTGCAATGTGCTGCCGATGTGTATCGTTCCTGCTTGGGAGGGATGGCTTCCAGGGATGACAGGAGAGATTCAGCCACTGCCAGCTCTCTCAGCCTGGAAACAAGAGTGCAGCTTGTGCTACCACAGTGGCAAATTTATGATTTGGCCTCTTGCTTATGACTGAGGCGCCTTCTGATGAGAAACAAGGCAAAAATTCCCATAGATTTTGTGGGAGTACCTCAAACTGTCAGAGAATGGTATCTTACAGTTACTCCTGTTAAGAGTGGGGTGACCCAGAGACAACGCCCTGCTGATCGCAGCCTGCTGTGATTTTAAACGTCAAGAGTCCTGGGCACACCACCACAGACCACCCAAAAATAGTATATAGAAAGCCCTCTCTAAACTGAGCTTTGAAGGTGAATAAGAATTTCATAAGTACACTGCTGCATTTAAACTGTCTTTTTTTTAGGTGCTTTGGCTTGTGAATGTGTTAAAAACTGGACCCAGACCCATCTTGGGCAATGACTTCATACTTTCTATAGCTACAGCTCCAAAACCAGTGATGAAGTGGGAACACTGATGTGAGCACTGGGAGTACTCAGTCCTTTTGCTGGACTTGGAGAGGGCCTGCGTGACCCTTTGCATTGACACTGCTGACCTTTTTATTGTCCACCTCTGTTGCCACTCCCAGTGAAGCAGCACAGTAAGAACCACGGTATATTGCTGGGCCAAAAAATCTGGGGTAGGTACGGCCTTAGAACAGTATTTAAAAAAAAAAAAGGACAAGCAGGCTTAGGATAGACAGGCACATCTGTGCTATCCAACGAAAGCAATTCTGAAATTTGTTCAAGTGGCAAGTCAAGTAAATACCTGATAACGTGTGTAACTGCAAGCATGAAGTACGTGCCCCTTGGGCAGGAGGTTCTCCACATGGCTCATAGCTAGGGTTGTGCTTAAGTGTCACTAAGCACACCCAAGTCGTTAGTTAGAACTCTTTCAAGTGAAGATACTACAGAGCATGATCAGGTAAACTCAAGTAGATCGAGGTGATACGGTTAAAAAGACATCTTTTTGAGTTACAGTGCTTTGCCGGGATATTGCACTCCTATAAGTGCTGTCAGGAGTGTGTGAGTGCCTGAGGCACGTCGGCGAAGAGGCTGGGGGCTGAGCACGTTCCCGCTTGCTCTGGGCTCTGCACGGCGTCCCAGGCACCGCTGAGGCCGCGGTGGCACACGGCAGGAGCTGGCCCACCCGCTGCGGCAGAGGGAAAAATGACAAAAACCAGCAAATTGGTAACATCCTAAGTTGCCATGGGCATGGCGGTGATGAATGTGTTCCCATATACTTGGCCACGACTCAGAGTCCAGTAGAGATGTGGCCTAAGTCCAGTGATACAGATGTTTCTTACATGTTCATAGCCAAAAATTTGTCAATGATTTCTCTCCTGTATAGAAGTACAACTAAGTGTTCTTATTGCTGTATAGCTTCATACCTTGTTTTCAAGCCTATCCTTTTTGCCCGTTGTTCTAGAAAGTACTGGATGAATGCCAAAACCTGAGATCCTGCCAACTCCTTGTCAATAGTCGGGTTTTTGGACCTGATCTGTGTCCAGGGACCACTAAATTCCTCCTTGTCTCCTTTAAATGCAAACCTAGTAAGTAATCCACATGAGGCAAATGTGTTTTTGTGTGTGTTTTGTTGTTTGTTTTGGTTAAAATGCCGCTGCACAAGGCTTTGCATAAATCCATGTGAAGTTTTGATACTCTTGGATTAATAGCGAATTGTTTTTTGTTTTTTTTTTTTTACTTTACCTTACCTCTCCATTGTCTTTGCAAGTTCAGTGTGTTTGCTGCTAATTTAATGACCAGTGTAGTTTGGCAGAGCCAGATGTCAGGAGTCAGACTGGAAGGGAAAAATGTTCTGGAAATCATTTTTAAAGAGATGGCAACGATAATGTCATATTAGAAAGATAGAGCTGAACAGCAAAAACAGATGCATGGGCTAAGGATCGAAATGATAAAGAAGATACCATAATAACGAATATGCAAAAATGCTCAAGGAGGTAGGACCAAAGCTTTAAAGATTCTCTGTTACTACCTCCCATTTGTGGCATAATGGCTGGAGGATACACAGAGGTGGCTAACAGAATTTCATTGTAGAATCTCCTGTATTCTATGCAGGTAATTGACGTTGGTACGTAGAGGGACAAATCCTGCCTCAAAGAGAATGCACTTTGTAAACATGAGAAAAGTGTAAGAAAGATTAAGACAATCATCATGAGGTTTCATTTATTGGTGTTTTTTAATTGTTTTTCTTGTTGCTATTGTGTATGAGAACAAGCCCTAGTAGCCCGGGGGCTCAGCTGTTTTTTGGCAGCTAATCCCCAGTGTGGCTGAAATGGGTCCCAAAGAAAATAACTGAATGATGATTTATGGGTAGGTTCACCAGCCAACTCAGAAATACCATCCCACAACTAAAGGAGAAAGCACAAAAGAGATTTTCTTTAATCAGAGCATTAAGATAGATATCATGGGTGGAACAGGAACAGGGGTGGTAAGCAGACTGAAGGGCCAATTTACGCAGAGTATTGAAGTTGGAGCAGAGATACGGGGATGGAGTAGGCAGATACTACCTTTAGCAAAGCACTGACACAAGAACTCTCAGGGAAATTTACTGGGCCAGTCATCAGGGGAAGAAAAATGTCTGGAATTTAAAATTTTAATGATCTGTTTTATTATCTTAATAGTTCAAAAAAATTTTTTTACACATTACGATTACTGCATTATTAATAGTAGATGGGTTTGAATATCATAACTGTATCTGTGTCATTAGAAATCTCTTTTTACTGATCAAAAGTGGATTGGGATCCTGCTTGTTACTTTTATAAGCTGCTTAATATTTTTCCCACTGGAAATGAGCTACTTGGATAATATTCTCTGTGACCTGAATTTTACAAAAGCTGGTCAAAAGTGTATTTAATGGCAAGCGCTGCCTTCAGAATTGAGGAATAGTCCAGTTCCAGTGCAAATTACATGATTTTGTGTGACAGGAAATTTGTATTTGTAGGTAAGATATCAATATTGTTAGGCTTGGCTGTGGAAAACATCCTTACTCAGGAAATCACTTGAGTATAACTTTATTTTACAGTCTCCTTGCCTTCAAGTAGGTACTTGAGCAGTTGCCTGGATCCTTTAGTTTTTCATCTGTTCAAAAATATTGATGCTGTATCTCTGCAGAGGTCTCCGTTCCATTCTTACCCTCGTCTCATACCGCTGGCGGGTTTGTTCCTGTTGTCGGTACTTCCATAGCCTCTCCAGCGACCCTGGAGCACAGCCGTACAGAGACAGAGCCCAGCTTCAGGCTGTCAGCCCAGGGGTCAGAGCCTCTGTTTTCCAGGCATGATCCTCATGGGCGTGCGGCATGGCAGGTGCTTCGGCAGAAGTAACAATCTGCAGCAGGTCAAGTATTTTTTAAAATCACACTTTTTAGACTTAAATTTGTGACTGCTGATGAGCTCAAATGGAAGAAACTGGACTATCACCAAGAGCATGAACCCATTTTTTTTATCTGTTCTAAGTGAAACAATAACATTTTCTTTATTGAATAGGTAGGAGGTTTTTCTCTCTCCAGTTCCCCCAGCACCAACACCCACACTCCACTCACAGGGATACCACTTAGTAACAGTAAGGTTTCCCTTTTCTCCTGCTCGGCTCAGGATCCTCCTTTTCCTGTTTTCACGTTTTTGAAGGACAAAAAAATGGAGCAGAATCTACTCTTCTCCCTGGCGTTATCTGTAGTAAAAAGGTTTGCCACCATCCCTAGACCGGGAAGACCCGAGTGGTAAAATGCTGCAAGCAGAGTGGCAGCTCAGGCCGGCAAGAGACCTCCTTGGCCTCTTTTAGATGCCAGATTTTAACCATTTCCCTGGGAGGGATGAACCGTGCTGTCTGGAAAACGGTCTCGCTGGCTTCCCCAGCTCTGTGCTGAGCGTGCTGCCAGCGTGCCCGTGCCGGCTGAGAAAGGGAGGGGGTGTGTTTTTCTCAGGCTCCTGATTCACATCGCTTTGTCAGCAAAACTTTCAAATGAGCCCGTGCTGGATCGTCACACCCAGGGAAACCCACCGACTTGGTGGGGCGATGCAAATGCAGCTGAGAGCGCTGTCTGGCTCGGGACGCGTAGCCCGTCCCCACGCCTTTGTGCCTCCCATTCTTCAGGGCTCGCTCGGTGCTGTACGCGGTGGCACTGGGTGATGCCCGTCATCCCCGTGATTGATGAGTGGTCGGAGGCTCTGGCACTCGGGTGGGCATCTGAAGTAGCCGTAGAATGCAGCATTGTCGCGGGGAGAGACAAAAGGACGGGGTGAGGCTTCTCCTACTGAGCAGTGGTGGAAAGCAAGCCAGGAAATCGGGCGGGAAGGGGGGACGCTGTTCCACTGGAAGAGGAGATTGACAAAAGTTAACTTTTTAATTCCTTTCAACAAGGAGCTGGAGTCTTAGATACTCATATGGGAGTAATTCGGTTGGAGGAAACACTCCACTTTGCTATTGGCTTTGTCTCTGGTTGTAATAGTGCCACGTATCACTCGCAACAAAACTTGCAGAATAGCTGTTTTCTGTCGTGCTGCTATTTGCTGTTAACGGTCCAGATGAGTAAATTTCCTCATTCTTCCGTGTTGTTATTTGCTTCTATTTCAGCTGAATACAAAACCAAATCAGCGTGTGAAAACCAGGAACTGAAACTCCACTGTCAGGAGTCCAAGTTCCTTATCATCTACTCTGCCACCTATGGCAGGTGGGCACACGAGGAGAACGTCTGCTCAACAGAAGTGGAGCGCGTCCCCCCCTTTGGTATGTTTTTACGCTGTTGCTAGACCTTCTCCGAGCAGGTGCACAGAGAAGAGGGGAAACGGACAGGGAGACAACTTCAGGTGCAAGAGCAATGGCATTTTGAAAGCACCGGTAATTGAAATACAAGAGAGATTATTTCTGAAACTCAAAACAAATTGCCCAGTACGAGGGAGAAACATAGAGTAAGAAATGCAGCAGAGTAAGAAACTTTCATGTAGTTAATCGGTCCTTAGTATGATTAACATCAAAAACTCTAGTTCTGTCACCAGGTTAGGTGACACATGCTAAATATCAGCTGTTTGCCTTTCTTCTTCCTCCAACTTCTGACAATGATTAGGCAACCCGAGTGTCATGACACCTTGTCTTACTGTTACCTTCTTTGTTTCTGCCAGCTCTTCCTTGCCTTAAATGCAGACTGTAAGGACAGGGTCCCTTGCTTTAGATGCTGTTGTATGACCAGACTCCAAGACTGTGGTACTATAGTAGAGAATTAAACGTGCCTGGGACTTCTTTCTGGCACGCAGTCCAGGAGGCAGGAATGTCCCGCTTACGTGGTACTAAACTCTTGCCCTCCAAAGCAGGATGACTGTATGCAAACCGCTTCTTGGGGCTGCTCTCTGGCCTGTACTAGCTCCTCAGCTGTGATGGGGAGTTATTGAGAGGATGCTGTTGGCCCAGGCCAGATGCGTGCAGGGTCCATACGTACCTGAGTGGAGCACTGCCTTGCAGTGCCAGAAACGTGCCCTCTCACTGCTGATTTGTTAGTACAGGTGCATCCCAGTATATATATATTAATGTCACGATATTAGTAATGAATATAAAAACAATATACTAATGTTGCTATAATATTTATATTAATTTGGTCAGACCGTGAACACTTTCAGGCACAGACTGTTCCCGTTTGAATAGGTAAAAGAACCCAAAATGTCATAAATAGTTGTATGGTCTACATCGATAACTAGTCATTGACTTTACTGTGTAGTCTCAGCTGGTGTATGACTAATGACTTGTGACTCACGACTCACTTTTTATCACTAAATATCAAAATCTATAGTAACCTATGGTTGTGAGGGTGCTTCATGCTTGTATGAATAATATGTTCAGTGGTTGACACCGAAAGTATGAAAGTAAATTTTCATGCCATGGAGAAGGCCAGCACAAGATGTGTGTGCTGTTCAAATCCCTTAATGCCATGCAGGGAAGGACTTGTATGACTGATACCAGCCCTGTGCAAAGGCTGAACTTTACTGCTAAGAAGCATGCTACACGTGAAATCTATCAGAAGCATCTCTGAACATCAAGAAGGGATCAGTAATTAGTCTTAAAAGCCATTTGTCTGCAAGCCAAGGTTTCTATTTGGTTATGTAGGTATTATTAAAAATGTATTGGCTGAAAATTGTAATCTGTTCTTAGACAAGAATCTATGTAAAATTGCCAGGTCTATGTTTCACGCTGGCTATCTTGTGTGGTCCTTCACACAGACTTCAGCTCTGCCTATCTGTTCTGTGGTGGGAGCATTTTAGCAGGTTTCTGACAGACGCGTGCATCCTTCATGATGGTGGCGTTGGCGTATGACGCAAGGCAGAGCAGAGGTAGCTCAGTTGATCGAGAAAGGCTGCCATCATACTTATTTCTTGCACTTCATTCACCTCTGGAAATCACTCGCTTGCCTCTGATGTCAGCACTTACAGTTCACAGGTCAGAATACTGCAAACCCTTCTACTCGATAAAGTTTCCCAGTATAAATAGAGAGAGAATTTGCAAGAAACTCTGCTGTGGATCCCTGCGTACGAGCACTTCTTGAGCAACAAGATTTGATTATTTGATAATCTCGTGATTATCATTATTATTATTAATGACAAGTCTAGGAAGTATATGTTGAGCTCAGGAGGTTTGCATCTATCCATAGTTGATACAGTCCTGCTAGGAGTACTGGGTATTGAATTAATTAGATACTTCTCTAGGTCTTGGTAACCTCATATTGCATGTAATATAGCTGATAAACAATTAATGACGAACAGCAGCTTTGGACTGAGACAGATGTCTTCTGAACTATTGCATTTCTGTGAACAGTCTATCAAATCAGCTGACAGATTTTTTGAGCTTTGCTTCAAAGGGAACACAGGAAAACATAGTATTTCTTCAGCATAAAGGCTCTTCTCCATGTAGGAAGTAAAGTATACAAATCCATCTCTGATATTGATGATATCACTGTGGTCTCAGAGCACTTGTAGGATCCTGAGCCTCAACTCAACATTTAGCATGACTACCTCCTCTCGGAACTAGTTTTCTGAGCCAGTTTAATAATGTAAATTAGGTGCCATTTTCAGTACAGAGGAGGAAGAAGAGCCGTGGCATCATGGTGTCATCTCTGCTAGGTGCTAGGTAAAGCCTTTACAGTAGAGTTGTCCTCTGATCTGGTTAAGTCTTGCTTATGTCAGGCAATGGGACAGCTTTAGCATGAGACAAAGCCAACTGAAAAGCCCACGCAGGATGGGTTATGAGGAACGTACGTTCGAGTCCCTGTTCTGATCCAGATAAAGAGAAGATTTTAATCTGGCTAAAGATTTGAAATACTGAGTACCAGAAACTCTCTATCGTGTACTGTAGCTGATAAGACAGCACTGCTTCACTCCCAAGACAGAAACCTAATTATATGTGTAACTTGCACCTTTCATGTCAAAATGTCTCTTGTTTTTGTTAAAAGTGACCAGAAACAAAAAGCAGCGCTTAGAACAACTCATCTTGCTCAGTGCAGTTTGGGGGAGAGGGAGGATTTGTCAAAGAATGTGAAATTTCCATATAAGATCACTATAAAACATTTTTCTTGGTTTTTATCACATTCACCATCAAACTGAAATATGATATTTTTACATGTCTCTGATCTTGCTCTCCAACTTGTCATCAGGGCCATTCATTCCAGTGAGTGGTCACCGTTGCCCACTTAAAAGAACAGTGCGTAAAATCTTGTCTGCAGACATTTTAGGATATTTTGCCTTCAGGAAACGTCCTTCTGCAAAGTAAGCTCCTACCCTAAGTAACAGAATTCAGTGAGGCAAAGGGGATTATTTCCATTGTAAGATCTCTGGACCGTTGCAGGAGAACAAAATACTCAAAGCAGTGTCCTGCTTCTGCAGCTATTCAAATGACTGGCACTGTTAAGACTGTACAGAAGTTATAGAAAGTAACTGTGCTGTTTCACTAAGATCAGCAAAAACTTCACAAGAAAACTTGAACTTTTTGGGGTGCAGTTTTGTAGCAGATGGTTCTACTTAGAGGAATCTATTGTGCCCAGCACCAAAGCAGGAAACGTTATCCGTTTGTTCCTGTGTGAGCTCTTGCCTTTTCTGACATCTCTCTTCTATATTTGTACTAACACGTGCATGAGGAAAGAGAAAATTTATTGGCCATAAGAAGTTAAAGAGTTGTGCCAGAACAAGTTACCATAGAGAGTACAAGGAAGATTCAGGTCAACAAACACTTCTTAAATCATGAATTACTCTTGTTAATACATGAAAGTACTTGAAAGAAGGCTTGGTAGTGGGTCGCCTCCAGCTGCAGCTTGCAAGCTAGAACACTAAGATGTCATTCCCAGAAATTTCACCTGGATGTGCATTGGCCGGTCAAATGTGCATTCCCTCAAGCAGTGATGACCAGCAGAGCCCTGAATTATGTATCTTCATTGCTGGAAGGTAGGGTCCTTTCCAGCACAGCCCTCTCTTTTACCTGTTCCCACTTTTGGGAGGTTGAAAGGGGAGGTAGAGAATTCAGGCACTCTCATCACAGCTTGCACCATGGCATGACATGCCCTGGGGCTGGGTTTTGTCCTAATTCCCTCTTCCTGGTGAAAGGCATTCAGCTAAGAACAAAGGGTGTTAGCAAGGCAAGAAAGAGAGATTTCCAAAATCCTGTAGGTTCCTTCCAGCCCAGCAAGGCGTCATAATTTTGTTATATAACAGCATTTTGTGATACTGTGATATTTTTTTTTACTCAGTATTGTGGAGAATTCAAAGAGCCTACATCTCTTATTCACTAACAGTGATTGAAAAGCTTTTGGTTTCTTTCTCTTACTAAGAGATGTACACTCCTCCTAGCATGAGCCAGTCCCTTGTGTAAGTCTCTTGAGAGTGGATGTAAATGAAGTAAAGGTACAAATGGCTGTAAGCAGATCTGGAAATGCTTACACGCTGAAGTTACTAGGTTCATGCTAGCTATAGACTTCTAGGTGCCATAAACCACAAACCGCGTAAGTTGGCCAAAATTTAGGAAACGCTGGGTGTTGAAGTACAGCCAGTTCAAGGAGCATTTAGTCAATTAACAGAAACACTGAGCCCAGTCCTCTGCTGGGGGAAGAAGCAAGAGCTTGTAGCTCAGGGCTGCTACAGAGAAGGTGACTAAGTCCTTTCTAGACTGGAAGTATCACTGGTTCAGGGCCTGGGTATGCCTTTCCATTCCTGAGCATCAGCTGCTTAGCGTATGTTTACTGGCTAACTGTGGGGCTGATTTCAAACACAAGCCTTGTGGGCAGTCGTGCAGGAGGTCAGGCTCCTGAATGGAAGAAACCTGAGGCTGCAGAGCAGTTATTTAACACAGCATAGGACCTCTTACAGGGACGCGGTGAAGGAGCAGATGTGCTCCAGCTGTGAAGGCAGAGGGAAGGTGTGAGCGGGGTAGGTGCAGAGGCACTGGTCTGTCGCAGGACCAGGGCTCAGGGACGTGGGGTAGGTTCACATCTCCCTTTGCAGCTTCTGCCACTAGTGCCTTGCCACTTTGGGTGTGGGAGACAAGAGTCGACTGAGTTTGTGGGTGCAAAAGTACAGATAAAACTGTTCAATTTTGCTTCCACCACAAAAATCCTTAAGTCAACTCTCTCTGTGTGCAGATATGAAAAGTTCCTTGTCCGTGTCAGTCTGAGCAAACCGGGAAGCTTAGCAGGTGTTTTGGGCCCCAGAGGGTGGTAGTAGGAGCCATTGCGCTCCTTGGCCCCAACAAATCCTGTCAAGACAAAGCTCCCCAAAAAGAAAAGGTGTTCAAAGCAGGGGCAGGTTAAGAAGCAATTGTTTGAAGGGAAGAAGAGAGCAGCCACCGTTTTTAGAGTCCAGTTAACCACCTGCTGAGGTAACCGGGAAGGTCACACTGGGCTGAGCAACTGTGTGAAGTTGCTTGAAGCATGCTCAGACGCTCATCGCTGCATCCATTAATGTGTTCTTTACTAGCAATTCAGGGGTTTTCTTGTGTATAGCTTTTTCTAGCTTAGGTTGTTGAACTGCTTAGAAAAGTACGCTTGGCAGTCGAGTCTACAATAAGCCAAGGAACTCCTGCGTGCGTACACGCAGACCCAGACGGTGCAAAACAAAGCAGCGAAGGTCTGAGCAGAGGGAGGCCGGTTCCTGCCGCCGCCAGCGAGCGTGGAGCTCGGCCCGTCTCCTGCCCTCGGTGTTCGTGCTGGCCGATGGGTCCCTGGCTCCGTCCATACGCACGTGCGAGAGAGAGAGAAGGACCGGGGCGGGGGGCGGTTTGTGCAAAATACTTACAGACTGAATTCTGAACTCGGAGCCACTGGTAGGTAAAACCAAGCGATGGGCTAATCTCATGCGGGCTGACAACAGGCTCCGCAGTGAGAGGGAGAGAGGGTGCAGCTTTTCAGAAAGCCCGGGTGCTGTGTTCACTTGTAAGGAATGGCCTGTGCTGGCAGCGAGTAGTGTTTTTAGCGTATCTTACTGCCTTGTTTACTGACGATACTTGGACCTGGAGCATAAAGGTATCGGCAGCACTTTTTGTAAGTGCTGCTGATCATATTGTGTTTTTTTTCTAGAATCAGTGGTTCAAATGGACCTTTTCTGATGCATAGGCAGGATTCTGTGTGCCATGCTCTTGCATAAATTACCATATTATTATGGTAACTTTCTTTAGGAGTCTGCAGCCTTAGCTTGCTCCAAACTTTGTAGTTTCCCCTTGTCAGTTCTTATCCCCAGAGCTGATATTTGGGCTCCACAAAGCACAAGCCATCACGATTTGGTAGTGTGAAATCTTTGCTTTCAGTTGATTTTGAAAGCAAGCTCCTCATTCTTTCGCGGGTAGGCACAGCCCAGAAAGCATAAAGCAGCGTAAGCCAGCAGTTTGGGATGAAAGCAAGAAGCAGCTGGGCTCCAGTACTGGAGTGACAAATTGTGGAGGTTTGGGGTTTTTTTGGGGGTGCCCTGGTCATTCACCAGCACATTACTTTTTATGTCATGCGGATCTGCATTTGAAACACATCCCCTACCCACCACGTCTCGAGGCTCACCCTGTGCATAGTGATGTGGGAGAAGACAGCAATTAGTAACGTTTGGAGAGGGTGTGACAGGACGCTGTTGCCAGAGCTTGGCACAAGATGCCAAGGCCAGCTCTGGCTGCTCCATCACCTGCAGGTCTTGTGTGGCAGGGTGGAAAGAAAGGAGGGAAAGCTCCTCCTGTCTGGACTGAGAGAAGCTTTAAAAAACCAGAAGACAAATTGCTTCTCATTAAAGCCGGCATGATTTATGGCATGTCATTTGCATGCCAAAACTTTCCTAAACAAAGCTAATTAGGGAGCTGAAAGAGCCGTTCCTCCAGAAACAAGGCTTTCTACTCTAACTGTTAAATAGCTGCAGTCGGATTTGATAGTTTATTACTGCATTAAGAACCTCTTCTTGACACCCGTATCTCCATGCCATCCATATAAGTATCTGTTTCAAAAGATCCACCAACAGTCTTGGCGTGTAGCAGGCAACTTTGGGAGAAAGGCGTGAAGAATGGGGTGTTTTCCCAGCCGCACATTGCTGCCTTTTCCGCCACCGCTGGTGGATGCCACCAGCCTTCTAGCATGCCGGGAGCATGCCTTTCAAGAGGCAGTTTAGTTTGAACGTTTATAGCAACTTAGCAAGCCCCATAAACGTATGTGTAGCTCAAACATTACTTAGATACTCAAAAAGAAGACACATTGCATGTTTATGTTCATCTCCTAATTGGTGGTTTCTTCAGGACCGTTCAGTGGGACGATTCACTCATTTACTCAAAATGCAGCACTGGCTGAATCCTCTCCTCATTCAGACACTGCAATAAGGTGTTTGACCAGAAGGAGGTTAAGTTATTCCTAGCATGAGCTCTGTGTCACTCCAGCTGGATCGCTATTAGACCCCAAGCAAGTTGGGTTGAAACTAGCTTGAACATCCCTTCAGCACACGCTGATTCCTCTGCCTTCAGTGCAGATTCCCTTCTGTAATCTCTGCTTGTGGGAGATTGTACAGGTGGAGCTGCGGACATTGAAAAAGTGGCCTTCGGTACCAAGTACACAAAATTCCTCCAAGCTGAAGTCATTGCTCAGCTGGCATCATAGCTCCCAGGACAGCTAGTGGAGAGACGGCAAGGACGCACATAAACCAGAGAGAAGAAGATTGAGCATTTTTTGACTAAGTCACTAAAACCCAAAATCTTGTTAGATCACAGGAAGCTGTTAAATAGTGATTTTTTGTTAGAGGTCTTTCCACTTAACATCTGTAGTGTCATGCAAAAGCAAGCCAGCCTTGGTTTGCATTTGCTCACCCGTGACACCAGGCAAGCGTTGGGAATTTCTCCAAAAACTGGCCTGCCAAGAACCTGCAGGCGTATGACGACTGGCTCCTCAGGCAGAGGAGCCAAATCCGACATGAATATAGACGATAAGGAGCTGTTCACTCCCACAGAAACATGAGCAAACATCTACCAAAGGCAAAACGAAACATGTACTCACTGTCACTGAATTTGTAGAAGACCATCAGCCCAACAGCCTCCTGGTTTTTAAGACACTGTGAATGCTCCCAGGGCAGGAAATTTTGTAGATAACATAATCCAGTTTGCCAGGTTGCTGTTGTGCTCCCAATCCATTCGTTTATGAATCATCTGATAATTCCTTCTGATATTCTCAGTTGTTTTTGTACTTGCCAAAATAAGCTACTTTTGGCTGCCTAAAATGTCCGCCCAAATACATCCTTACTCATAGAAAATTGCCAGGGAGGGAAACTAAAACGTCTGAGTTTTACTTAATCAGAACTACGCAATGTTTTAGGTCAGCCTTCCCCGCCTGCCCAGCAGCCTCCCGGGACACGGGCATTAGGATTTTAGGTCTCTGAAAAGACAAAGGAAGAGTTGCTCTCCCAGAAATCCATGTCAGAGGTAACCTGTGAGCCCTCTGCCAAACAGACAGGTCAGCCTAGTAGTTCCCAATGGCTCTGCTCACGTGTATGACTGACTTAGCGCTGGTGTCAGGGGCTTAACTCTAAAAAAATCACAAATCTTCCCCATTTGCACATATTAAATGTCAGTCATCTTTGTCAAGCAGTCCAGTCTCAAACCTCCCCTTTTCTTTTCAAACAAGGCCAACTTGGGGAACCTTTGGAGTGTCTTTGCAAGCGCTGTTTCTCCTTCCTCTGGAGAGGCACAAATGAGCTTCAGCAGTTGGAAGATGACAAGGTGCCATCCTTGTCTGAGTTCTATTTTAGGAAGAAGGACTGTTTTGATGCCCAGAGAAATACGTTTTCAGACCTCTAGAGTGTCCCTACCTCAGAAGACCAGAGTGAGAAATAGGTGTATCATCCACAGAAAGTCTCAACATGCGCGAGGTAACGCTGGCTGGAAGCAGACAGCTTCAGGAAAGTATGACTTACTCCAGACTTGTCATTTCTGCATACTTTCCGTTTAGAAACCAAAACTAAGGGGTGTTTTTGCTCTGTGGCTTGGAGTTTAGCACTTGTGGCTACCGGGAATTTAGTCACATCTAGAGACATTCTTTTTTTAACGCAGATTTTTTTAAAGTTTCTCTGAAACACACTTTCCCACTCAAATAATTTCAGTGGAAAATCCTGCTAATCAAGTTTTATTCTTTTATAAATTTCGGTAGAAAGCGTAAGTCTGGCATAAAGACGTCCCAGCTCCAGGTGTAGGTGTTGGCAAGGCGGGTTTTCACAGGCAGCGCATGGTTCTTGCTCCGTCCCCAGGGAGAGGTTCAGCAAGCTGGAGTCTCTCCAGCTGCACAAAGCGGGGGTGGTTTAGGCTGCGTTGAAAATGATGTGGGTTACCTCCTGTAATTAGGGTGCGAAGGCAGCGCAGTGCAGATGCCGTTGAGGTTGCTTTAGGCATGCAAACTTGGCTTTTGGTGGCAGCCTTACTGGGGCAGCCTGGAATTCGGTATGGGAGGAAGAAGCCAAATGTTTCCCTGGTTAAATACTGATCCCGTTTTGACCTCGTCGCCATGGCAGAATGGATCCTACCAGCGACAGGCGTAATAAATCAAAAGCTGTCTTTAATACACCAAACCTCACTGTAGCCCTAGGTGCTGCAACACACAAAAATTGATCTCACCTGACTTGAATTGAAATTAGCCATCCAGTCCAATCATCTCAGTAACCCAGGGATCAAGAGAAAGACCTGCAAGCAGCATTGCATCTCCCTTTATTTGTACCCTCACCTTGAGATGGAAGAGATGGAGAGCTATGTGGATGTGCTTATTTTTTCCAAGCTGTCATGAAGGGAACATAGCGGTCTTATACTGGGCATCTGGTTTGGAGCTTGACATGAATCTTACTGCAACCTTAGTATGTACCTGGAGGTCAGTGTGCGGAGGGTGGCTTGCTGCAAGTCCACATTTTCATTGCAACTGTCTTTCTTGCATTGACAAATCTTGTATTTAATTCTGAAATCCCACTTAAGCAAACATATGCCTGAAATGGGTAGCAGATTTGTATCTCTAGTCGTGCATGTAGCAGCTATGATTTCTGATAACACCAGTGTTGTATATTTCTTTTATGTATTTTTTTTCTTTCAGACTGTTTGTCTTACACGGCGCTAGAGGTTTTATCAAAAAGATGTTATGGGAAACAGAGATGCAAAATCATTGTCACTAGCCGGGATTTTGGAAGTCCATGCCTACCTGGAGTAACAAAATACCTTAATGTCAGCTATGCATGTGGTAAGAGCAAACGCATGATTATTTTAAAGCCCTCATTCTGCTTGCAAAGCAAAACAATGCCAAATGGTGCACACGTATGGAGAGAGACACACACACACACACACACACGCGTATGCACACAGAGGCTTCCTAAGTCTGCTCTTCCTTTTAACATAGGAGGTTTGTAACATAGCCGTACGAGAACGACTAAAATAGGTGAGCAATCCCATGGGCAGAGCTGCACCTAATGTAAACTCAGGCGTTAAAGGATTTTTTTCCTATAAAAATGCAATTGACAATAAAATATAAAGTATGTGGTTTAATGCTTTGAGAAATACTGTCAAAATAAGAGTCTGTTCTGCAGAGTTCACCTGCAACAGAGGAAAAATAACCTCGCATTGCCTGCCATCGGTGCAGGTAAAGCAGTCCAGCATAATTGAAGCACTGTGTACCAGCCCAGTCCTGAAATCTGATTCACATGAGCACACCTATGGCCTTCAGCCTTGCAGAGGGGTTTCCTTTCTCATGGGCAAAGCCTCACTAAAACAAAGGTGTGAGGTTGTACATCCCTTGCAGTTCTCCATATTCTTCGCCATAGACTAATATATTTATGCCGGGGAAAGCAGAATTCCCTACAGTTCTTTTTCTGAAAAGCAAAGGCCGTGGGACAGCAAAGTGTAATACCAGTAAAGGTGGGAGAAGAGTGGTTGCAGAATTTCGGTGTAGTGCCTTATTTTGGTTTTGCACATTTTTAGGAATGGCTGCGCATTTCTTAAGCCTCGAGCCGCTTTCCTCGGGCTCTGCTTTCTGCGGCTGGCTGGCTGTGGGGTGGAAGTGTGAGGGTCAGGGGTGAGCATCTCTCACATGCCTCTGCTTCAACCAGAGGATGCGTACAAGCTTTTCCACCACGTTACCGCTCTGCTTACTGTGCACCGCTCAGAAAGCTGCCAGCCCTGCTCCTTTCTGGCTCTTTCTGGTCTGTAGGGAGTCACAGCAGTGGCTCCGCAGGGACATATCATAGAGTCCTTTCGCTGCATCTCTAGTGACTAGTGGTCAAAGGGCACAGGTTATCTGAGACGTGCTTTTGGGAACAGCAATGCAGGATTGATTACCAGATCATCGTGTACCTGAAGAGCAGAGGAAAGTGAGTCCCAATGGAGATTTTTCAGTCTGCCCGTAAATTAGCTGTCAGGTGAGAGGCATTGCAGTAATTCTGCTTTATATTGTTGAAGAGAGCTGGAAATCTGCCTTTGCACTAATACATTACATTATTGTGAAGTTGCCTTCATGTTGTACTAGCTTTCTGAATGAGTTAATGGAGTTCTTTTTAATTAGAGTAAGGGTAATTATAGGAGATCGTTCTTTCTTGCACATCTGTGTACTAGAAAACCAGCATAAGTTTGTTTGCAGTGAGGGTATGCATGCTGTTATTTAGCAAAGCAGTTTTGCAAAACATGTGGGTAATAAATAGTGTTCTTGTGTGTTGCTGGCACATTTTGAAGGCTTTTTCTTGTGCCAAATCCTACTGAGCTGTGCAATCTGAAGCATTAGCCAATGATTTGCAAGTCTAGTTTTTTTACAGATCATCTAGTGAACATGGGAAGAGTTTGCGCATATTCCAGAATGACAGTTTACATTCTTTGCCCTCACTGGAAGATCCCTGGTGCTTCCCAGGATAGGGTAAATAGGCCTGCCCCTGAAGCCACAGGAGCAGAGCAGAGCAGACCATGTTCTCTGAGGGCTGTGCCCCACTTGAAAGTATTTCCATCACGGATCGTGGTCGGGAATGTGAAAAAAATCATACTGCCCACCTCAGTAGTCAGCAACCATTTAGGGCTAGTGTGTCTGGCTGCTTTTTTATTTTTACAGTTAATTCCTACTAGTAAAGGCTTAACAGGAGCAGGGAGGTGGTGGTTTCTCACAGTCTCAGTGCCCCTGGTGACCTGCTCAGCATCGTCTTGCGTCCGCGCGAGGTGACATCTCCTGGCTGTTGCCGACGCTGGACGTCGGGGCCCTGTCTCAGGAAACACAGCTCCTGTCGCTCCGCGTTGTGTCTGCACTCCCTGGGTGCCATTCGAAGTCCGTCTGCGGGCTGCCTTTGGCAGCGCACAGCAGGTGACGGACTCTTACCCTGCTTGACAAAGTAGTGCTGGGACAAGTTGTAGTATAGATCTTGATAAAAATTCCTTGTGCTAGTAGCCGTTATTCTGTTCAATGACCTGATGCAGCCTACCCTAGTTAAAGTCCTCATTTCTGAAATGAAGCCATAATGAAAATTAACAATGCAAGCAGTCAGGAGCTTTTTTGGTGCATGCCATTTTGAATTAAGCATCCCCATACAACAAATACTTGAATGGCGTATTAAATAGCCATTCAAACTTGATGGAAAGCCATGGGGAAAGGATTCAGTCCTGTAGCAAGCAAAGCCCTCGGAAGCTCCCCGTGGGAGAGGAGTGGAAGGGACACCAGGACAGGTGAAGGAGCCCCAGCCTGGGCACCAGGCCGTGCGGCGGGAGCCGCAGGGCACGCCGAGGCGCTGGGGGCGGGGGGGC